AGTTTCAGTTCTACGTAATTTAATATCCCCTATAAAACTATACTACTTCTTCACATTATTCAGTCTACAAAATACAACAGCAATGTGTTTTTTACTCTAGCTAAAACAAAAGCTTCTTCATTAATTTAAATGAAATTAAATTATCTGCCAGCCATGTCTCAGATAGTTTTCATTTTGACATGGAAATGCTCCAAATCACTGACCCACTTTTGTTCTCAGTGAAACTCCGGGGATAATGAAGCTCCAGCGGGTAGCTGTGTTTTGGTGGAAACTCTGTCCTGTCCGGGACTAACAAATATTTACACAAAATTTATAGCACGCGCTTTTCGACCCTCCTCCCCTACCGAAAAACCCATTTCGGAGGCGGGCCAAGAGCGAACCCTCCTCGGATAAGGGTAAGCCATGGCCGAAAAGTTGACAAACAATGCGTGGCCAGGGCCGAAACAAAAAAAAATCAGTTTAAAATTAAAATTCGCCTGCCCCACCCCGACCGCCGGAATAACGAAACAAAAGCTGACACGCAGCGGAATCGGGAATGGAGAGAGTGGACAGTGGGAAATGGGAAATGGGAAAATGGGAATGGCAGTGACTGAGTTCCCCCCGATCGAAAGTCACGTTTCATAAGCAAAATTATGAAAATGCCAAAAGTGGCGCATAATTTCCACTTTTGAAGGCCTGAACCCAGATTGAGTCTCTCGCTTTGCGCTTGATTGCTTCGGCAAATGAGGCGTTTTTAATTAATTCATCAGACGTTTAGACCAGGCCAGGCCAGGACTCTGGCCAAATGAGTCGCATATTGTGCGGCGCGGCATTTAAATTAATTGAATTTGCCACACAACAATTAGCACAAGAATCAACAGTGCACTGTACTCGCCATCGAAGACTTACATTTCCATTTTAGATTCATGACAGAGAGTCTGCTGTTGATTTTGTTAATTTGTAAATAGCTGTCAGATTTCGCATAATTTTGCGGCCGTCAGATTGACGGCGTCTGTCATGGGCTTTCGGCTTAATTAGAAACTCGTCTTTGGCGGAATGCAAGTTCCGCGGATTTACCATTTCCCATTTACCATTTACCATATTCCATCCCTTTGTCAGCAGTCTGTCGCTCTGTCAACGGCTTAAATCAGTCCCCAAGGGATGTGCGGAGCAGCTCCTCGCACACTCATTAAAATTCAACAAAATTGTTGCCAAATTAACTCAAACATAAGCGAGCAATAAAATTTCCATATTTTCTCATCCCAACCCAACCCAAGGCTTACACTGGCGGCGAGAAAAAAGGATGAAGCCTCTCCCTCCGACCGCAACTTTCGAATAAAAAATTTGACCAAACTACCCAATGAAAACACAAATATTGAAACAGAAGGCAGCCATCAGCGACGAAACTTTATTCAAAGTGTTAATTACATGCACAAGCTTAAAGAGCAAACTTAAATACCAGCCTGGCCGAGAGCCGCTTTCGAGGGTCCTTTCTTGTGTGTGTCGGGATGGGCGGCAAAGTATATTGACTAGCTCTCTCTTGAAAATAATTACAAAATTCAGGGAACCAAAGTTAAGCCTCTCGTGGACAATGGAGGCATCAAATACAGGTTGGGTTGTAATGCAAATAAATAACACTGAACAACTTGAGGAGAACAGGTGATTTTAATGCCGTCATGACACTCCATTTAAGGAAAAAGGAATGGGAAAACTAAGTATTACATCTTTAAAATAAAAATTTAAATAGGAAAGTAAACTATCTTTGAAAAGAACTAAGCATTTGTTGCATATATATTTTTCAATATTTTCTTATGACAATTTTTTATAGAACTCAAAACTAAGCCAAAAAAGCATTAATTTTAATTCGGAAAGCTGTCCAATGTTTCCTTTTAATATGTTAACAAATCTGTATACTTAGTTTGAAACTTACAAAAATTTAAATTTTTTGATATATTGTTGTAACCCGGCAAAAAAAAATTCAAAATTTAAAATTATTTCAAAGTTACAAGCTTCTGACTAAAATTCGAATAGCCTGGAAGGGTAAACCAATTCCGGTCTGAAAGCTTCACTAGTTAGGGCATTGAGCAAAGAAAGTTAGTTTGTGTAGAATGATGTAACATTAATGGTTGTTTCCTTGTATTATGCATTTTATAATCGCATATCTTGATGTATAAGTAGGAAATATCTTGATATCTATGCTTAGTTTCCTGGTATTTCCACATTATTTGGTACGAATCTCCCTGCTTGGTAAATATTATTGAGCCTGTGTGCTGCATAAACAGGATCGCATCGGATCCTGGGGATTGAAATTGGCAGCTGTTCGAATGGAATTCAATTAGACGATGCGTAATCCCCAGCCGTTTGTCGCCCTCGCCTCGATTTAATTAAGCTCCTTTTGCTGGCACAGGCACAGAGTCCTTGTAGGACTGCAATTTATATCTAATTCAGTTCAAAGATTTATTTACTGTGTCCAGGACCATGGGACTTTAATTAGCACTCCACTTGTTGGCAGATGGAACGGTTCGTTGGCAGGGAAATAAACACGCGGCAAATGACACTGAGAGTGCACTGAGGGGTTGGGATTGCGACTTCGAGGGGCTTAGAAGCTGGTCAGAGTCCTCTCCTTCCTTTTTTTTCGACTGCCAGTTTCAGTTCGTTTCCTGGGCATCCTGGTAGTTAAGCAGAATTTTAATTGATAAATTGCCACTTGGGCCATTACTTGTCGCTGTGCTGCTGCTCCAGGCGTTGCCTTCCATCCAGCCCCCCCCCATTTTCCTTCCCCCCTGCTTTTCGCTTTGAATAATTTGCAAAAGTTGCGACCAAAGGGGAGGAAACTGCTGTGGTTGCTGCTTTTCCGCCCCCGCTCTCTGGCAGTCCGGCTCTTGAGTTTTGGACGTGCTGTTAGTAGCGTTTACATCATCAAATGAAATACAATAAAATACTTGGACTCATTTAAAAAGCAATTAAATATTAAAAACACTTGTACACTCGCGAGGGAAATGGCAAAGCCAGAGGAAGGCAGTGAGGGAGCCTTGGTGACTTTTGGAATTTTGATTGTTTCTTTGCGTTTCATTTACAAGTTTTCCGCAGTTTCCCCCAATGGGAAAACTCAGTCGGGGGTACGGCGGGTGTGTGGCGGGGGCCATGCGGTTTATTTGAGTGATTATGCAATTAATTAAAATCTCTTCGCTTGCGGTTTAAGCCAAAAGCCAAGCCGAAGGGACTTCAGTTTCCCTCCTTCCCCTTCGTTCCTTCCTTTCCCAAGAAAGCCTTGTAATTGAATTGAAACGCGAGAAAGATGCTGAATCGGAATGTGAAATTAGCAATATTCGATGGATATCAGGCCATTCGGGGACTTGGCCAGGCTATTTCCCTACCGGAAGTCATGTTTATTAGAGATTGGCCTTCCGCCGAAAAAAACAGAAGAGGAAACAACCGAAAAAAGGGGGAAAAATGGTATGGCGGAAAAGCACACATAAGCGTTCAGTTATTCCATTAATTTGATTAGAGTTTCTGACGGATCAACGCCAGGGAAAAGTGGGAAATGCGTATGAGAGATAAGGAAGAGTCGAAGCTAGAGATGCCCTACAAAATGAATTATTATTGAAATATAAATAGGTTATAGGATATATTTTATAAAGTAAACATATTGAATATTTTTAGAAATTGTAGGTAAAGATATTTTAAGGGAAAGAATAGGCCATAGAATTAATAAACACATTGAAAATCCCCACAAACTCCTTAATAATTTATTCCAACAAACAAATATAAATAGATAAAAACTTTCTCAGATCTATTAAAAAAGTTTTCCCTCACTTTCCAGCCAATATTTCCAGAAAATGGGGAAACCCTTTCCCAGGGCAACACGCAAAGGGGGAAAAAAACAGCACAGGGTAGGGAAAAAAGGAAGAAAGAATAAAAACAAGGGCTATAACAAACGCTGGGTAAAAACATAAGAATATGCCGGATGGCGGAAAAGTGGAAAAGCGCCGACCATAACTGCTCCCTTTCCGCCCCTCAACCTTGCGGGAATTCACGTGGACACACCTCGTGTCCTTATGAAGTGCCGTTATTAACTATGGCCTCAACTTATGCCTCATAAGAATTTAACGCTCAAATGCTCAAATTGTCAATAAGAAAGTTGGCACGCCCACTCTAAGGGCTATCTGTCTGGCTAAGCCAACTTGGCAGCGTTTTATGCCACCTCAGTTACACACACAAACTCATACACACTACGGTGCACGCATTTAACGGCAATGTCCACGCGTTTTCATTAAGCCAACTTTTGGCGAAACGGAACACGAAGGCCAGGACAGAGCTGGTAAGGCCAGGCGAGGCCTCCTGGCAATCATTTTTATGGAGCTGCGCGGCCAGCGCATCAAAAACCCATTTGGCCGCCATTAACTTGATTGAGTCGAGAGCTGTAAGTGAGCTTTGTTTTCCTTTTTGTTTTTTTTTTTCCGTCCATTTCCCTTACTTTTCCCTCACTTTTTGGCAGAGGAACCTCCGGCAAATGAAAATTGATCATGGCCCGGTGTCCTTTCCATGTTTACAACTAATATTTCTACGGATTTCTGTGAGGTGAAGCGATCGGCGTTTGGCAACGCTTACGGCATAGTGTCCACAGCCATTAGTCGTCATTAGTGGGCATTTCCTTAATTAAACTTTGTGCCTCCGGGCCCAGCCCAGCCCGGCCCTCAATCAGTCATTAAAGGGTGTCTTCTTGCTGTCGCTATCTTTCCAGTCATTTGTCATCGGCTGCAGTCCAGCGGTTGTTTTGCTAATTAAGCCAAGTCCCAGAGTCACGAGTCTCACTGCCAATGCCAAGATTGTGGTCCTGTCAGGGAGAGCTCATCTAGGAGTCAGCCCCCAAGGGGTTGACCTACTTCCGCTTCCAGGTACAGAGACAGAGACTCCTCTCCTTCTGACTTTCCAATGAGGTTGAAATTAACTCGTAGTAGAGTTTTGTTATTATTCCTCTTAAAATAGCATCTTTAATGACCACAAATGGAGGGGGGTCCCCTTTTGACATAACTATTTACTCGAAAAATATTCCTCTTGCTCTCCATGCCATCTGAAATCCACTTTTGTATTGTTTTCCAGCTGTGAAACGTATCCCATAGATACTTGCAGATCCTTGAGCCAATTACTCAGTGGGGTTTTATCCCCTTTAGAAAGCCAAAATACTTTTCCCCAGATTCGATTATGCCTGAGCATTAACCCTTCAGATTGTTGCCACACTCCGACTTCGTCTGCATCCAGCAGTGAGTCCTCCGACTGAATCAAACTGTCACAGGACACAGGACACAGGACACATTAAAGCTTAGATGGCTTACACGGTCGCCTGGCAGATACACAAAATAATAAATGTGATTTGTCATCTCTCGCAAAACATGAAATGGCAGCAGCAGTTGAAACAGAGAGACAGAGACAGTTTTGGATAAACTGTTCGAGAGAGAGAGCATTAAATTGCAGTCAAATGGCACGCTGTGTGCATTCGAAATGCCAAGGATCCTGCAGGACATGCGAACGGGAAGCTGCGAGTTTGGGTCTGATGCCGAGGCTGTATTAAATTATTCGAGCGTGCTCCTGCCAGACGGAGATACTTTCGTATGCAACACTGAGCAGACATCCAAGACCAAGTCCAACTCCGACTCAGATCAAATAAATGTTGCGCCACACGAGGACGAGATGGCGATTCCAGGAGGTTAAGCTTCTGTATGCCTGCTCATCAGCAAATCAGCTCCGGCTCTGGCCCAGCTCCTGCTCCAGCTCCAGCTACTGAGAGCCAGCCACATCACAATCTGGCCAAGTTAAGCGCCATGTAAAATTCATTTGACTGACTTGGCTGGCAGCAACGAGCTGCAAATGAAATGGCAAAACAAGCGTGTTGAAGTCACCTGTCCACCTGGTGACACTGACAGTGGGACAACAGTTGGCAAGGATGCGTAGTCTAGGAGGAGTCGCCATTGACCTTTCAAGCAGTCAACACTTGAGCCATAAGGACATGTGTTTCGAGTGGTTATTGGTTTGAGGATAAATACCAGCTAAAGGTCGAGAAAAAGGTTACAAGCAAAGCCTTAATACTAAGAAGTTCTTCATCAAATATTTGATTACTCAAGATCTGCCTCGGATAAAAGCTTATTAAGTTCTAGAAATCACTTTGAATCATTGTTCAGGGTTACCTAAGGGTCGCTGTATTTGTACAGCGGCTTCAGGATGACAAAGGAGCACAAGAGATCCGCGCTGACACGCATCACACCGGCGGCATTGTTCATCTCGCCACAGTAGTTGGGAGCCGAGAAAATGGTGATCAGATGGCGATCGGCGAATAGTTCGTAGCCATCCTCGACCACCTCATGGGCTCGAACCATTAGATCAAGATTGTGAGACTTCAGGAAGTCTAGGATAATGGACTTGCTAAAGGTGAAGCTCACACCACGTTCATTCCGACCCCATCCGTCTGTAGTGTGATTGAGATCCGCCCAGAGAAGGTCGCAGAGTAAGCCCTCGTCTGGGACATCTGTGGGTCGTTGCAGATTTTTTATCTGTTTCAAATTGTGGAGTGTAGGACCCAATCCTCCATGGCAGCAAAAGATGCGATTTCCGACGACTGCCGCCACCGGAAGCCAGTCGAAACAGTTCGTGAAACTGCGCCACAAGCGAACCGAGTGCCGGCGCTTCACCTCGTCAAAGAAGCCGTAGATCCTATTGATGCTGGCACACTCGTGGTTACCTCTCAGCAGGAAGAAGTTCTCCGGATATCGAATCTTGTATGCGAAAAGCAGGCAGATGGTTTCCAGCGACTGCTTGCCCCGATCCACGTAGTCGCCGAGGAACAAATAGTTAGTCTTTGGGGGAAATCCACAGGCCTTGAAGATGCGCAGCAGATCCGTGAACTGACCATGTATATCGCCGACTATGTTCACGGGACTGTCCAGCTCCAGGAGCATCGGTTGCTTGGAGATTACATCGCGTGCCTGTTGGATCAGTCGCTGGATGGACACCTCGTTGCAGGTGCAGTCATCCTTTTGGGAGATGAGTTCCTTAATGAGACGATCCAACTCCAGGTTGCTAAAGTCGATCATTTTCGTTGGTAGTTAGGGTAATGTATTTGTATCTAGTTAAATTTGGTATTTCTATAAGGGATACGAGAATTTAAAGATTATACAAAATGTAAGGAATTATAAGTTCTTCTTTTTGTGTGGATAAATGTCTTCCAGAGTAAGGTTAAATTGAAGGGAATTTCCTGACTTACTACTTGGATTACACTGAGAATATTATATATTTAATAGAGTTAATTGATTAAGATAGATATTGCTTTATTTTTTATTATGGGTAATGTAATTTTCAGTTTTGGTTACAAATGATTTCCTATATTTAGTTTATATATTAACTAAATCCATGGCTTTGTTTTTTTTGCGTTGTAAAATGTGTTAGGGCTTTAAAACATTTTCTTTTTTGTTACTAAGCACGACTATATGGTAGGGATAAGCCTCATTTTGGCTGGCCAACGTACCAGTTCGTATCAGATCTGGGCCCAGACTTGACTCGGCTCAAAGCAGAAGCGTTAAAGTGCAAAAGATTTATGGAATTTATTTATGTGCCAGTTAAAATGACTACAACGTAGGGGGCAGGGGATTGGTTTGAGGGAGTTACTGGTATTCTGGTCAGGGCTGAAGGCCGTTGGCCATTCTCGGATGCCCGGCATCGTCATCATCGCTGTCATCATTATCATCATCGTGGCCCGACATCGTCTCCGTCAGAAGCGCCATCACAATTTTCGTTGCGGCGGTGTGGACGTAAGCGGATTTGCGACAAAACTCATTCGCCATGGACACGATGCCCACACCCACCATCTCCTCCTGCTGCTGTTCCTGCTCCTGCTCCATCACCACCTCCTCTTCCTTCTCCTCCTCCTGGACTAGGTGGACTTGGCTTGAATCGCTCGGCTGGTCAGAAAGCGTGGACGTCTTTGCCGCTTGTTAGCAGCTGACAGCAAAGAGCGACGGGGCTAAATCCTGTTAAAATTTAGTGCAAAATAAGATAGAATGCTGGATGCTTAGCCGGCGAAAGGAAAGTAAATTATTCGTTCTTCGTTCTACGTAGATTTTTCGACCACCGCTTTTCGCTTTTCTTTTCATTCAAAAATATATATATACAAATAAAATATAAATAAAAATAAAGTTTCTGGTTGCGCATTGTATATACATAAGTTTCGCCATTTTATTCGTACCAAAAAAGACCTACCAACATAAATATCTCTTTTTTTCCGCTGGCCATAAATTGTCGCCGAAAAGCTCCGAAAACAATAAAAATAAATGAACTTGAGTGAGTCTTTGCACTGGAACCGAAAATGAAAATGAAACCGAAACCGAAACCCGAACCAAAACTGAACCAGAAACTGAACCAGAAACTGAACCCCGGGTCCAGAAAAAATTTATATATAAAAAAGAGAAAAGAAAACCCCAAATTGGAAGTGGAACTCGAAACGAGGCAATTTGATGTTGATTATTACTCGTCCTTCTGCTGTGGAATTACTTTCCTCGGCTATGGTTTATGTGTTGCCCGGCTATTTTGGCTATTAGTATTTATTGTCCTGTCCGCTGTCCTCCGTTCTTGGTCCTGACCAAAATCGCATTCTAAATGATAAAGAATTCGTTTGGTATATATCTTTATCAGCTGGCCCCGAAAGAAGATCTAAGTGACAGCTATAAAACTTATGCAAGAGATACCACGAATGATTATAGAAATGTGGCCTTTTTATCTGACATATAACGTTGTTTTATATATAACCCTTTTGAGTTTAATATAATTAATACTGGTTTGAGAGATCTTCTATATAAAAACACCTTTCTATATATAAGCTACATTTATTTGAAGTTATTTTAAGCCCATCTACCTTTGTAGTTGATGTTATCAAAAAGCGACTCAATTTATATTTACCTGATACTCTCTCTCTTTATTTTCCCTACAATATAAACTATTTTGCTTCAAGTTTTCAAATTAAAATTAAAATCTCTGCTCTCGGCAAGCTCTTTTACATGAATTTACTGTCGATTCTTGAAACTTTCTATTAGCTATTTTGGTCTGCTGGCTGTGTGGCGCATACAGAATCAAAATAAAATTCACATAAATGCGATTGTTTATGCTGGGCTGAGAGGGGGGATGAAGAGGCACTGGAGCAAACATGAACCGGACAACAATTGAGAGGAGAGAGAGTTGCCATGGCTGCAGGACACCGGAAGGGTGGTGCAAAGGTTGCTCCTAAGTCCCGACACGTGCTGGAGCTCTTGCCTTTACTTCCTTGCTATACTATTTTTGATGCAATGTGCGTGGTATTATACACAGGCAGAAAAATGATGAACAAAAAATTAAATTTAAATAATTAAAAGAAGAAAATTGTATACTTTAAAGGTTACCTGACCTTTCAGTTGATTTCCTAAAGCACTTTAAATGTTTGCCATGAAGTAAAGGTTTTTTATAAAGGTATGATTAAGGAAGTACTTATTTCTTAAACATATATACAGATATATGCTAACTTTAAGCTAATCCTGACTGATTTTCCAGTGCACTGTGATGTCTCGTGTCCACTTGCCACTTGACTCACTTCGCCTTCCCAAGGACCTGGACCTGCTTCTAAAAAGCAATAACAAATGGCGACAGTTAGTGTGTGGAATGCAGTTGTATTTCACTCGATGTTTTTTCCCATTCCCTTCGTCCTCAGACACTCTCTTTTGGTTTAACATTTCACTTTTCACTGCCGTTTGCCCCCTGACCCGCGCCGTTTTGCACTTTTTCCTTCTCGACGTCGTCGTCGTCGTCGTCGTCCTTCTGATTCCAATTCGGAATCTGCACTTTTCTACACGTGTCGGTGACATTTCCCTGGGCGTGCATTCACATAAATATTTGCAAATAGTTATTCACTTGAAACTTGTCTGATTTGCTTGTGAATGAACCTCGGAAAAGGAACTATCTTTTATGTAGAAGTGTTTTTTAACAGTCTAAAAAGTAAAAAAAAGGTTTCCTTAAATAAATTCTTGTACAGTACCAATCTTCTATATTTATAAATGGTTCCCCCAAACCCATTCAACTTTCAACTAATTTCCAACAGCTTAAGGTTAAATTAAGTTTTAATATCTCAAAGTCTGCAGCCACAGTTAAACATTTCAACAGAGCCATAAAGTATATAAGTTTGGACAAGGCAAACAGTATTTAAATTAAAGAAAAATATAAATTCCAGACTGCCGACTAATGCACTTAAAGCCTGTGAATAGAAAAAGGAGCAAGGAGTGGTGGTCGGGGAAACATCAATAAATGCAATCTGTAAGTAAACTTTGAGAGCTCGACACAATCTCGTCCAGTCCGGGGCTTGACAACTTAATGTCGGGGGCTAGAAAACAATTTGCATGGCCTGTGAAATGCCAGCTGAGGCCACAAATAAATATTGAAACCGAAAAAGGATTTCGTGGTCCCAGGGGGCGGACTGTAAAAGGGGACAAACTTCCCCTTTCGAGGACTTCCCCTTGAAGTCGGCCTCATAATCTGATGCTAGTTATAAACTCTCAGCCGGACCAAACCAAAGTCATTTATATTTTAGGGGGGTCCTCCCCAGAATCCCCAGACTCCCCCAATTCTTGGATTTCTCAGCCGAGACTGGCAAATATAATCATTCATGGTTTTCAGAGCATGAATCACATGCAAATGGGCAGGGATGGTGGCCGGTGAACGGTGGCCGGTGGCCCGTTGTGCCTGTGCAAATAGATTCATAAATCAGTATGAAAATATTATTTGATTTCCGTTTTCACAAAATGCCACAAAAGAAGGGCCATCCCCGCAGCACTCTTTGCCTTCCTGGCACCAGTACCCTTATCGGTGTCCGAATCCGAATCCAAAGTCTGAGACGTTGTCGGAAGCAACTAATTGGAGCATAAAGTACCAGCAACAAATGCCGAGGCATTTCTATTATCTTTTTTTCTTTGAGTTGGTTTGGGAATACCCTTATTGTGGAATTTGAATAAAAATTAGCATGACTATGCGCAGGCTGGGGTTGTGTGAAAGAAGGGTCTTTGAACAAATTATATTTCCAGCTGAAATTGGAATACGAATTCATCTTCTTAGGGATCTTCTTATTAATAATATTGAAATATGCTGAAACAAGATAGAAGAATAATTTCAGTTAGTTGATGTTTATATACCCTTTCAGTTTGCAATTTAAGAGTATAAAAAATTGTCTTCGATTTAAGAGAAATGTAGCATACATGGCGTATACTTAACGTGAAACCCCTTAAATTAAGTATACGCCAGGGGTGTCGTAAGGGAGACTAGTTTAAAAAATTATAAAAAATAAGTTGTTTCATTTAAAAAGCAAGAATTTTTCAAATAAACTATAAGATTAAATGGGAAATCAATATCTATAAACATTTTTATATTAAATATTTTTCGACATATGAAAGTTTAAAAATCTCATAACTAAGCTAAAAATTCAATAATTTTAATTCGGAAAGCTGTCCAATCTTTCTTTTTAATATGTTAACAAATCTGCATACTTAATTTAACATTTAAAAAAAGTCTCAATTTTGATAAATTTTTGACCTTTTTTTTTGACAATTTTAAGCCCTATAAAATTATGAAAAAACTGAAAAAAAAAATTTCCCCTCAAGAGACGGCTAAATCGATTCGGTTGACGATTCTGATCAAGAATATATATGGTTTATAGGGTCGGAAATGACTTCTTCATTAAGAATACTAAAAATATGTTTATTGAAGGGACTCAGGATTAGTATTTTAATATGATAATTTTTTTGTGAAAATCGCAAATTTCAAAATATCATAACTAAGCCAAAAATGTATTTATTTTAATTCTGAAAACTGTCCTATGCTAGTATTTATAAGAATAACAAAATTGCATACTGAGTTTTAAAATTTAAAAAAAAAATTAAATTTTTATAAAATTTTGGACAATTTTAACAATTTTAACCTCTTAAAAAAACTTTAAAATTTGAAAAAAATAAATTTCTGTTGGACATGCCTAGAACGACGCGTCTGTTCATGCAGATCAAGAATATATATATTTTATAGGGTCGGAAATGACTCCTTCAATGTTTTGCAAGCTTCTGACTAAAACTATAATACTGCAAGGGACTAAAAATAAGTATTAATTTATGCACTTAATTTTACATGACAATCGAAGCTTAAAATTCTCATAACTAAGCCAAAAAGTCATTAATTTCAATTCGGAAAGCGGTCCCA